CAACTCGACGAGGCCGCTTAGAGCATTTCTGTTTAGTATCTCATAAATTGCTTCCACTCGTGAAGCTTTCACTCAGTATTTTTAGTCTGAAGTAGCGTCACAAAAACTGGATATACTTATTTATATAGAAATGTGATTGGATAAACAATAGTAATAACATATGACAATAACACTGTTTGGCCCAAAATGGTTAATGGCACTCAGATTCAAACCCGAGGTTTAATATCACGTATGCTTTTAGAATCCACATTTCGAATGTCCAGATAGTTTTTACCTTATTCTTATTTATTTTCATCTAATTGTCTATTAATTTAAAATCAATATTTAGATACATCTCATTTAAAATTACTTTCCATCTTTATTAGAACAGCCGTTTATACTTTTTATAATATGTATATTGTAACTGTAGCCCCCCTTTAATGCATATATAAATATATATATATATTTTACCCCGTTATATGAATAAATCATATAACATCTTTACGTGACCAAGATAATTTATTGATCTTTCTATAGGATCTTTCTAAAGGTAATAATTAGCCGTATGAAATATTATTGTGATCGTCATGTTCGGTAGGACCTTATTTACGTTGTGTTTATTTAGTAACTTGATTCTTTTAAGTGTATCTTGGATAGATAAATATTCACTAGTCGTGGTATAAGTCAGAGATAATGTCAGATTGCTTCCTTAATAACTAATCCCGACTCGCTTGAGACGGGCTCAGAGTATATAGTATACTCCCTCTCACGCTTGTAAAGGGCTCACAATATAATTTTAAACTAATATCCTTCTCTCTTGAAAAGGGCTCACATCAATTCCACATACCCGATACAAGTCAACAGCTCCCCCACATTTTATAAAAATGTAGGGAAGGCACACGGCTCCATGAAAACACTCACCAACGCCGTGTGCGGTGAGCGCCAACCAACATATTGCGTATTGTTAGTGTTTTGGCATCACCACCATTTACAAGGTTAGCACGACATTTCGTCGCAGAGCGCGTTATGAGTCACTGCTCACCCCAAGGGTATGGTTAAAACGTTGCACGGCATCGCCGCAGCCTTGAGAGGTTTTCTCCCGCCAGCTACCATCCACATGAGGTAAACGCAAGTAAGGTATGCTCCACCAACCATTGAAATAGTCAGATATAGCCATAGTTGTGATTTTTATGTTTAGCCATCAGAAGGGTTTATAATTGGCAACATATATTTATTTGTCAGAGTCTCTGACGTTGACTATAATGTATTTTCGATCAAGTTTGTCTCACCCACCAGCAAGTTGCCATTATTCGTTCGAACGGTGGGAACTTTACTAAGAATAGTGAATCATGTTAAAACGTATAAGGAGGTCAGACAGTCTGCAGTTCCGTCATCAGTAACCCGACTTGGACAAATCTACTGAGATGTGCATCAAACCGAGACGCAGACTCGGCCATTATGAATAGCGTCGTCTCCCAAGCAAATGTCGTAAGACGCAATGTCACTAAATACAACATGCATCAATACAACTATCGCAGGTCAACACGCCAACATACAGCCTATCCGCATACTCAGCAGACATCATCACCTCGAACCTCCGTCAACCAGAATCATACGATGCAATGATATTAGGCGCAGATCACCCCGCAACTACCACAAGACGCATACTGCATATAGCCGCACGCATCAATGCGACTATCGCGTAGGTGGCACACCCTCACACCACACCAATATAACTCCAATCAACTTCGGCTCCAAAGTTTAGAATATACTCGGAACACAGGAAGTGTCCAAACATACTCTTTCACGATCCGAATGATAGTCGACGTATCATAGCGTAAACACTAAGACGCTAACCACCAACGGACCCCCACCCAAGCCAAGTAAAAGCCAACGTATCATAGCGGAATACACTAAGACGCTAGCCACCACCAGACTCCCCAAAGTCAGATGATCAGTCGACGTATCATAGTGCAACACACTAAGACGCCAACTACCACCAAACTCTTACTATGCCGAATGACAGCCAACGTTTCATAGTGATTGTCACTAAGACGCCAACTACCACCAGCTATCGATGATATGTCCACCACTGAAGACATATCCATTCATGGTTCCACGTTTACCGTAGACCATATCGTCGTACAGAAGTACCATGCAACTCCATAGTAATATCTCTTATAAAGTCCCAAGTCATTCATTGCTCTTCATTATATTTATATATTTATTTTTTTTTTCTGAGCCTTCACATATTATTACTTTTATCCATTAGACTTTACTTCCATATGATATTGGTATGGGACGTTCATACAATGTACTTTCACTATAGTACTAAGAGTCGCGATCGACCTCTGTACTTCTATATGTACGGTCATACAAATGTGTCCCCGCAGGCTACATTTACAATCCTGACCTTAAAAATCACTAAGTATGGAATTGTATTTTATTGACATAATAGTGATCGTATATTGCTATATTTTTAATAAATACCCTTTTTTGAGTATTTTAAATGATTTTTAACTATTTTTAATCAATTTTTGGTAATATCATTTTCTCATACTATTATATTTCTTTAATTTAAGTATTTAATATATTAACTTTTATTGTGATTAAACGTTCTTAAACGTTTTATTTTCATCTTAATTGATCTTTATTATGACTAATTAATAATAATATTTATTATTATTAATAGGTCGTTACAATATGTATAGCAATTTTTTTAGTTATATTAGTATATGCATGCTTAAATAATTCATAATTTATAATTGCTATTAATTTTATTTGGGTCCAACAAATGAGGATAACAACACGTCAAAACGCGAATAAATTCGATAATGAGAACCTAGATTAGTTAAAATGTTGTTCAAATGTCGGCAAATATTGTTTTTCAATAAAATCATATTTTGATTTTATTGAAAAACAATATTTGCCGCTCAATACATTTAGGCATTCGTCTCTTCGATAATGTGTATATGTAAGAATTAGCACGTTCGTTCTAAATATTACATTAAATAAAATTGTATTTTGGGACGGCCATAGGTAACTTTAGCGTGCCAATTCGCTTTGAACATTAGGACGTTTATCACGAAAACCTATTTCATTCCACATGGTGTTGTATACCATAAAGGCCAAATTGTAATTTCATCAAGGCCTTGCGTCACTTTAATTATTTTATATCTAGTATTTTGACGATTTTTATTAATAACTCAAAGCTCGTGACGTTCGTAAACAAATCAACGTTATAATTACTTTTTCATATAACAATTGAGAGTATTTAAATGCTAATTAAATAGATAGAGAATATTATTTAGGACATTCTCAATTTGGTGACTCCGTGACGCATTTGAGTTGCCAAGGTATTGGCTTCGTCGTCGGGGTTCGTGGGTTCGATCCCCACACGGAACAACTATTTGTGTGACCAACAGATAGTTGTTTCGTATCTGGGTGTTTGTCCACATGAACTTTATGTGTGTAAAACGTCCTTACAACACAGGATATTGTTTTCCTAAAGTGAGGGCAATGTTTAAAAAAAAATACAGTCACTAGCTATTCAAAGCTTCTACTACGGGACGTCTTCAAACATACTATTTTATCTTAACACTCTGTTTTCCAGGATTATGGATCAAAATTACCCTCTGGAGCGGGTGACAGGTTCACGACCAATGGGTATAATTAAAGGAAGAAAAAACAAATAAAATGTTCATATGATGGTGAGTGATTTCCACACAAATTGATAGACATTTACTTTATTTCGAAAAGCAACATAATTATGCAAAGCAAGAACATTCAAAATAAATGACATGAAAATAACAAATTAAAAAATACGTTTCAAAAATACAAATTACAAAAGAAAAATGAGTTTATCTTAGATGCAGCTGCATTATCAACGTGATGAAGACTATTTTATCACATTATTTATTCCATTACCTAACATCATGTCACTTGGATACATCTTGTACGGTACGTTTCACGGTTGATAACATTTTCAGAATCGTTTCAACAGTTTTAAAGCTAGTTTTAAGGTTATTACATTAAAACTCTGTCATTATAAGTTTGGATCTCAATTCGGAAATTTTTCAATTTAGAAGCGCGTGAAATAATTTTTTATTACTTCGTAATGTTCCACAGTATTGAAAAGGGGCATTTCGAACAGAATAAATCACGTAATCCGAATAACAGACCTTAAGCTGTTCCAATCGCTTAACACTTACGGTCGAGAATCCTCGAAAGTCAAACGTGTGAATAATAACTGAAGCGATTTCCATGCGAACCGCTCGAGTCTCGCCACGCCACCGTAAGGGGCCGCTGGAACTCAGGCTACGATCAAAATAATGGGATTTGCGAGGCGAGATTATGCTAGGATTATTTTATGCTGAGTACATACTAAAAAATTTCCATAATTTCGCCCGTGCGCGATTCGCAAACGACGATTATTCACTTTAAATGCGAGGGAGTAGAGTCGAAAATGCACTACGTAGCGTTTGCCCGGGAATTTCATTTTGTCCCGAATAAAAATATCCTATACGACGGCTTTGCTTTATCATTGCGAAGCGGAGGTGTAATTAGTTTTCGCAAAGCAAGCCGACTTCCTTATTCTGTGCCAACGATACGATGCTACTTTATAAAAATTTAATATAAGATTAAAAGTTTTATTTTCAAAATTAATTATTATTTATTTAATACTTCATTGAATGGATTTCCTGTATCAATCACGAAAGAAGAGACACAAGATAACTGATCGAAAAACTCAAAGTCTTTCCCAAATAACCACAGCATAGTTAGTAACCAATCACGAAAGGAGGGACATAAGACAACCGATAGAAAAACTTAAACTATTTCGCAACTAACCACAGCATAGTTAGCAACCAATCACGAAAGAAGGGACATAAGACAACCGTTCGAAAAACTTAAACTATTTCCCAAATAACCACAGCATAGTTGGTAACCAATCACGAAAGAAGGGAAATAAGACAACCGATCAAAAAACTTAAACTATTTCCCAAATAACCACGGCATAGCTAGTAACCAATCAAGAAAGACAACCGATCGACCAGAATAAGTCCGTGCGTCGGATTAGCGCGCCATATTTCGGGGGCCGCCGCGCAGCGCCGGTGAAAAATTGAGGCGTTCATTGTTTTAAATGTCGGTACGTGACGTCGGATGACGGGGCCGAGAGGGGAGAGGTAGTAGGGGGAGGTTAATTCCTCGGACATCATCCTGCGCATAATCCCGTCGAAATTCCCGTTACAATTGCAGTCGACAATCCGCAAAATCAGAATCGACTAATACAAGTCCATCGAAAGTTCTAGAAAATTTAACCCATTCAAAAATATACCTGAGACGTGATAGTGTATAATGGGCGCTCGTTTTTATTTTAAAATACTCAAGTAACTGATTTCAAATCTCGATGCACCAATAACACTTAAGCTGAACACACGATCACTTAAATTGAAAATTTTAAGCGCTGACTTATACCGTGCTTAGCGGCGAAATTTTCCCCACCCACTACGCCACTCGAGTCGTTTGTTTTTTTGAATTGTCATCTTAATCAAGAAACCCCTTTGAATTGAGTTATTAATAAAGTGTGAAACAAGCTTACAATTATGTTTTTAACTTAATCTATTTCTCGCTAGAGTATTAGTATGAGCTCTACTTGTGTAGTTTGTGTAAAAAATGTGAGAAGTGTATTCTTTTACGTGAAGGTTGTCAAGCGAGCAGGCGGTCCAATTGATGTTCGGTAAAAACAACCACCAATGGATATCTACATCACCCGATGTGGCGTGCAGATCCTTTGATAAGCTTTACAAAAGTGGGTTGTAAGATATTTGTTGCAAATGGATATCTCACGGATTGAATGTATGAACATGTTACAGGTTAAAATACTAAATATTTCCAACAATTGCAACCTGTTGGGATTGCTTCTAAATATGGTAGGGACACGCAGCAGCCTCGGCTGTTGCACGAATGGGCAGGCTCGACCGGGTAAGTACCACGACCTCACAGAAGACCGGCGTGGAGTACTTTCTCGTTTCTTACTTGTAATACTTTCGCGTTTCAACGTATCTGCAACCCTCGGGTGTAGCAGATGTCCATGGGCGGCGGTATTCACTTAACATCAGTTGAACAGCCTGCTGGCTTGGCAACTTTTCACATAAAATAAAAATGGTGATAGGGATCAAACGTCTCCCCTGATGATAAGTAATCACCGCTACCCAAGAAAGGAGGTCTCTACTTAACGGCACTTTTGCCTCCTGTCTTCATGAATTACTCGTGCCACTCGGAGCCACATGGCGGACCTGCCCATTAGTGCAACAGCTGTTGAAGCTGTTACGTGGCACAGAAGATTTGTTTGAGACCCAGGTTTTTTGTGTATAGGTATACTATTTTTAATTCAGATGTAAGTTATTCTCCCACTTTAATATTTTTTATTTTGTTCCCATTCAGCCCTTCACGGGTTGGCAATTGCTTGAATACTTCAATCCATGTGGTAGGTTATATTTTTTTTGCGAGAATGTTGCAAGCGAGCAGGTGATTTTCCGGATGCGACCACCACCCATTGATGTCATTCTACAACACCTAAAAGGTTGGTAGTCCAGTTTTAAAACCCCATTCTGTACGTTTGATAAGTTAAGTTAAGTTAGGTCTTTTCGTGTTGTCGACTTACAGTTGAAACAGCATGATACCATTCAGTTTTCAACAGTGCGTGTGTTTTTTTATACAAAAAAATGTCCATTTCGTAAACGTATTATAAGAATAAACATCAGTAAAACGCCTCCTAATTTGAAACGTTCTGAAAAAACATATAGATGAGTTTCGTAAAAATCAGGCTCATGTGGGCCGATTATTAGAAGATGAACTTCTCACTACTGTAATTGTCAAATATGTAACTCATTATAAAAATAGTCACATAAACGTAATGCGTATGTAACCCTGATGACTGCGATCTGATGTTTAGAACAATACCGACATTCTCTATTTAAATTTATTTGCTTATAAAGGACACAAACGCTCTTTTGTGTACTCAATAATTACGAGTATGTCTTAAATAGTACGAGTTCTAAGAAACACACTGACAGCAGAGGAGAAAGAAAGAAAGGAACAGGGGTATTTAATCCAATAAAAGTCATGAGAAAACCTTATAAAAATACGAGTATATCAGGATGTCAGAATTTTCACAATATCAACGAGGAAGTGTGTTAGTGACGTATTTGGGAGATGATCGATATGTGATATTGATTACGCTACCAAAATTATCTTGTTTATATAAGAGCGTGCATTCGAGAGGATTTCGCCGATAACGCTACGCATGTGGGCCATATGACACTTGGAAAAAAATCGTCGAGAATGTCATCGGTGTCAGAGAAGAAAGAGATATTTCCTCTTCCTTCGCAATATTATTCGTGGCATCGGTGACATGGTAGTATAACATTAAGAATTTTTTTATTAGTATTTCTAAGTCACAAATGAATTTATTCATAATACTTAACAATCAACGCCATAATACGACAATTAAGGATGACAAATAATAAGAAGTAAAAAGAAGTTAAGAATAAAAATTAAGCAAAACATTTTTTTCTGTGGTTTGAAGGGCTAAAATTCATGTCTCTAATAAAAAAATATATCATAATTGTTATTCAGATTTTAAATAAAGAGTATTTTGTTTAAAGGAAGTTATTATTTATAGGGTAGAGTAGAGTAACACCTTTACATGTCCCACTGCTGGGCAAAGGCCTCCTCTGTAGAGAGGGTATCATCTTCGAAATATTTTTTGTTATTACTGTTAATTATGCAGGTAATTAAAATATGCAGATTTCCTCACGATGTTTTCCTTCACCGCTGAGCACGCGTTAATATCATTTATAGACTGTCAACAAATTATGCATTTTCATTACTATTGAAGAAAGCTTTTCCCTCGAAGGCGTCAACCGCGTGAAAGGTCTTAATCTCGAGAAGTAATATCCTTTCGCATTCTTAATAAATAATCCAATACGTTGTGGCGTCGGCACACCCAGCGCGGGCGAAATGCCCAATACAGCGCCCCCGCCGAAATTGCCCGGCGTAGATGCATCCGAGTAGCGCGAGCGTAACAATAAAATCTATCAGGGATCGTATTATTCTGTTACCTATACAAAGTGATTGTCACCAGTCGGCACATGGCGTCGGGGGGCGCCCGAGGCGGGGCCAGCATCACCACGCCCACACCCGGCCGCCGATAAGGTCCAATCTCCATACAGATCGGGCTGATTCTCGGCCCTAACGACCGCAGCGGCGCCGCCGAAAGCCGGCCGAGTGTGATACCAGCCTTAATACATACCCGCGGCCCGCGTCGGCCGCACGCACCGCGCCCTCCGTCGACGGACGCTCAATCGGGCAACATTCCAAAAGTGACGAATGCTATGTTCCCCTTTTGAAATATTTTGTTGTTGTTTTTTTTTAATCGTCGACAATGGAAATCAGTGCTCTGCCGCCGATGCCCTTGGACTTCTCTATGGTGAGGAACGGCGCCGGCTCGCCTGGTGTACGCGAGGGATCCCCGAGGCCGGTGTCGAACAGCGCTTTCAGGGTTGTTACGCCTAAAGGTGAGTTGTGTTGGACTGCTTTTTTGTCGTCAGTCTCATTAGCTGCCCGTGTCAATTCGGCGGACTCTTCAGGAAGGTTGCGTTATGAGGGGAGTGTATAAAAATATTCGAATCCTGAGCGTGATAGTAATTCTCTTTTTGTGTTTGCAAATTTGTTATGATTAGAAAACAGCTCAGCTGTTGGCTTCAGAATGATTGGCATGATAGCGTTACGATTTAAGCTGTTCAGGACATTAATAACATTGTATGTTAATACGAAACGATGAAGTTTAACTCTTTCTGTTATAAAAATATGAAGACTTATGACTTATTATGAGACTTTTTCCCGTTTAAGTAACTTCCTTTACTACAAATGTTTAGAAAACCAAATATCAAAGAGATTCAAGGTTTATACATTTAATACAGCTTATAAATCTATGTATTATATATATTATTTGTTATACAGCTTATAAATCTACTAGCGTACCGTATTATTTGTTGCCGTAGTATTTTCATTGTGATTTCAGGCATAGCATTTGATTGTAAGACGCTCTCGTTCATGGGTGAACATATTTCAGTTTTCAATATGGGGATAAAGTAATAATTTATACGCACAGAATTTAAAAGATTTTTTATGACCATTGTTTATTAAAAAGTTGTTTTAATATGTAAAAATAATCGTGAAATAGTATTATGTTCTAGCTTAAACACAACCAGTCGTTAATCTGCGTATACTTGATTACCTTTGTCTAAACTTTGGATTTTTTTGTCTAACTTTTTACCAAAATTTAATGCGTCTTTACGTGTGGGTTCTAATGCGGTTTTATAGATCTTTTCTATTTTTTCATTTATTTTAAAAATGCAACAGCATACAGGTCTACAAAATTATAAAATTTTATGTCAATATACTGATGTATTACCACAAGTGGACATAGCATCCACACTAAATACTGTTAATTTATTTTTCACCTGATGTTAAGTGATAACCGCCGGCCATTGGCACTTACAACATCAACCTTTCAATAAAGTGGGCCCCGGCTACCTCACTCACCAAACAAAACGTAGAAGTATAACACTTCCACTTCACGAAGGTCTTCTCTTATGTCGTGGTGTTACCAATTCGTGCGACAGCGACGGCTATTGCGTGGGGCCCTACCACAGTTTTAGATAACGATTATAAGCTTTGAATAATGACTAATGCAGAAAAACTTTTCATTCTTCTAAACATTACCATACCACTCAACAGTTTTTAAAGCGGCTATGTTATCATTTTAGATGATCAAAACAATGTTAAAAATAACAACATATTTGCGCCAAACATTATAAACTGAAAATCGCGCAAAATTCAATTTAATGTCTATTCGAATCGCGAAACTTTCGAATCTATATTTGATATCAACATTAAATTCAGATTTGTTTGTTTGTGGTTAGGTTATTTAATTACCAGCTTATTTTATGTGCTTTTTCGTCTATATTTCCAAAGTATTTTATCTAGACATAAATCAAAAATGCAAAAAAAATCAAAAAAAAAATCTTAAAAAATTCAATTTTTTTAGACAAGGTCAAAGTGTCTAAAAAATAAAACTTGCAACAATCAATTGAAATCTATCCCGTACTTTTTCCGTGATGCGCGCACATGGGCAGACCAGTATCATTTTATTTATATACAACGAACAAAATGATATAATATCTAGAGACAATTAAAATTAAAATTAAGTTTATTATTATAATTAATTTATTTTGACTTTTGCAGACTATGTGAAGTTAATTTAGAGTCTATATTTTAGACTATGTGATTTAAAAGGAAAATTTTAAATATTAGGTACTAACGGAAGTGATAAAAATTATAACAGATAATTTCAACTAAATGATACATTATATAATATGCACTGCATATCGCTTATTTAGAGGAAAACAAACCTACTAAAACTTCCTTATCCGTAAACAGTAAAATAAATTAACATTTGTTTAAAGTTTGAGCGAATGATTGTTTGTGATATATGATCGATAATTATTAGAAGGCAACATTGAGTCTGAACAAAACTGAGGAAATTGAGGAAAATTTAAATTAAATCCAATTTATTTCGAGTGGTTTTTGGTCACTTCTATTTTTTTCATGAAATTAAGCTAAGGTGGAGGGAAAATGATGTCATTTAATACTTTTCAGGTATATAAACGGCTGTAAATGTAATACATAAAAGGTTACTATACCTACGAAGTGGTTATAAATATTTGTATTACTAAAGTAACAATTTCAAAGTAAACCACGAATAACAATTTCAAAGTAACTAATTTTAATTACTTTCTTGAAATAGAACGACGTCCATTTGAATTAAAACGATGTTACTTTTGAGTTTTGGTTTAATTTTTGTTTGTTTTGGTTTTATTTACTTGAAGGATTAATTGAAACAAAACACGTTATGTTTATTTATTTCTTTTAACACTACTATAAGATTACCTCTAATTAGAATAATAATTTGAAATAAGAAAAAAGTGAAGTGAAAATTATGTGAACGATTTTTAAGTTTCTGATTGATCGTTTGTTAAATGAAGCCAAAACGTTTGATTAACAATCCGCAAAGCCCCTTCTATATAATACTTCAAAAGAAATACTCACTTCAAAAGAATTAGAAAATTTAAGTTCGTAATGGATTTCATTTCTCGTTAGGACCATAGAAACCTGTTATTTGTGGAAATTGAAACCTAGTTAACCTTACAAACCATACACCGTTTAAGAATGAGAGTTTTTGCTATAATTAAAGATAGATTATTTTATTTCTTTGCTTCTGCCTTTTATTAAAAAATATCCCTAAATTTGCTTGAGCGTTACGGTAAGTATTTTTGAATCATTTGATTAAAAGTTTCTCTTTTTTATGTGAAAAATTGGTAAACGAGCTGGCGGTTCACCTGATGTTAAGTAATAACTGCCACCCACGGACATTTGCAACACCGAATGCAGATGTGTTCCCACCTTTTAATAAGGCGGGCCCCGGCTACCTCACTCACCAGACGAAACGCAGAAGTGTTGCACGTCAACTTCACGCCGGTTTTCTGTAAGGTCGTGGTACTAACCCGGACGGACCTGCCCATTCGTGCAACAACGAATACTTTTGCGTGATCTTACCACAGATAATCTTCCAATCTGTTGACAAATTAATTTTATTAATATATTATGAAGTCATATTTTATTATTATTTATGACAATTTCTTAGCTCTTGTTCAACTAATTGTGGGTCATGAGACAAAGCGGGAGTTCCCGTATTTTAATCTCACATACAGGGACCAAAGAATTTTAACTCGGATTAGTGAGCTTAGCAAAAAATTCTTTGAAACATTTGTACCTGTAATAGGTCCTCCAGCACAGCCTGAAAAGGAAGCAGTAGCTACCTCTGCTAACCCCATGAAGCCTAAAAGCTGTGAATGTTTGAGTTTTATTAAACCATAAATTTACATTTCGAACTGTTGACCATTCGAGTCAACCTGTTTCATGTTAATTTTTTTCATCTGTTATCTAAAATATTTCCTTTTCATAATAAAGTCCTATTAAGATGTTACATTTTTATTTGTTTAAAAATAAATCAAAGGCAAATTGTTGAGGGCTGATACGCGTCCTATTTACTTCAAATAAAAGTAAGATCTTAATGCGTTATAAACCATCATCAATCGCTCAGTATTCGTAGTTTTATTATATGTAACATATAAAATAAAGTAAATAACGAATGCACTTACAGCATATGTTCTGTAAGCGCATTCGTTATATAATAGAGACAACAATAATGATAAAATAAATACTATCGCTTTACATCGAATACAAAAATTTGTAAAAGACTCAACACAGTACGTGCATGTGTGCGGCGTAGAAGAAAATAGAAGCTTAGTGGGTAATACTCGAACGTACATCTTTGAATGCACCCAGGGTGCGAAATTTCGCCGAAGTGACTTCTGATTGATCAAAGGCATCCTTCCGTTGCATCAGCATTAGGTAACAAAGGGACCATATCGTGTATCGACGAAACATTAATTTTCCATTTGCTCAACACTTCTGTCGAAATGGCAACGAATATACCCATACAGAAAGTTTTATTGGTCGATAATTTTATCTTATACCATTGTTACATATTTCGGAACTGGTATTAATTAAAATACGGTTTAATACTATTAACTGCGACAGCTCAGTGTCTAGACTCTAGCTTTCAAATCAATATACTCGAGCAACCTGAGTTCAATTCCCGGTTCACCAATGAAACTGTTAGTAACATTTATAAGTGCTGACTTATCAAGTGGTTTCAAGTTTCAAGTGGTAATAGGCGTATTTTCGAAATAAAAAAAAATCGACGCTATGTCAAGTCTGTCAATCCACAGTGGGGTTGAGTGGTGAAATATGCCCTAATATCCTCTGTACAGAGGAGGCCCAGCAGTGGGACAAACATAGGCCATTTCTTTACTTTTTTGTTTTTTTTTTTTATGTGAAAAGTTGCCAAACGCGCAGTCGGTTTACCTGATGTTAAGTGAATACCGCTGCCCATAGACATCTGCTACACCCGAGGGTTTGCAGATGCGTTGACAACCTTTTTGGAAATTGGGCTCCGGCTACCTCACTCACCAGACGAAACGCGAAAGTATTTGTCATACTTCCACTTTACGCCGGTCTTCTGTGAGGTCGTGGTACTTACCCGGACGAGCCTGCCCATTCGTGCAACAGCCGAGGCTGCTACCGTTCTTTTATAATACTTCAATATTTAAATAGAAATAAGTCAACAAAATATGGCTAATGCGATTAAGTGAAAGAAAGTAGTGTGAGATTTCTTAATGGAATAAAAAGCAGCAAAGGAAGTCATCAAGAAGATATGGGCTTTTGTAAAATTAGTTTCCAAAAAAGGTGTCAAATTACTTAATTTTGTAAAGCCGAAACAAAAAAAAGTAAAACCAAAATCTTATTGAAATTATCAATTAAGCTTCTGAAATTTAATTTTTACTTAAGTATGATACTGTCAAAAAAATTATTAGAATTTTTGAAACAT